AGGCAATGGCTCAACAGGCCAGCTGTCCGCTGTGCACTGCCTGTCACAGAACAGGAGTCGGTGACACAGCCGTCCCTCAGGCAGCTAACACTTCCAACGTCCCACAGGCCTATAACCCACTTCTGCTGAAAGCCTTTTTTTTTTTTTTTTAAAGTCATTATGGTTGTTTGGAGGCTAAATCTATAAAAGTGAATTACCCCCAGGTCACTCACAGGATCAGAAAGCAGGAGAGGGGCAGCCTGGGGGCTTGGGGAAGGACACCCAGCCCACGACTTGGGGACAACTGCCACTGCATGACTTCCTTCAGCTGTGTTCAGTCCCTCTCAACATCCAGACTCCAGGAGAGATGACAGCTTGCTCATATGGGGCCACATGCTCTTCAGGCGGTTGAGGGTTAGGGTCCCATGTTCTATAGCGCAAATGAAAGATGTCTGTGACAGGGCTAGTGATAGAAAGTAGAAAGATCTATGGAAACAGAAAGGAGGGACTGCACTGATTTCACTTGGAGTAGAGGGAGAAATGGGAAGTTGCCAAACAGGAAGGAGATTCTGGACCAACATACCCCTCAAAAAACTAAAAAAAAATTAATAATCCTGGGGCCATGAGCAATAATCTAGTCGGCCCTGAGCTAGCTATCAGAACCAGTTATGGGGAAAATCACATTCCCCATATCAGTATGTCCCATGGATGGGTGTGGGCTGTAGACCCAAGCAGCATGGGGGACATGGATTTGACATTCACGGTCATTGATGCTCCTTTAACCTGGCCTGGGTCAGGCACTTCTGACAGCTCCCTTGGGCACTTGCTGGCAGGGTCAGAGCGCCAGTTGAAGGAAAGGGCATTGGGTGGGTGGGGTTCACTAAGGGTCCACAGAGGGGTCCTGAGACCATTCTGTCCTGTGGCCTCCTCATTTCTTTTTAGATTTAAAGTATTCTGAGGAAGCAGGGAGATTTTGTGAGCTCTACCTTCAAGTATAAAAACAGAGAGGTGGGACTTCCCTGACGTTTCAATGGTTAAGACTCCACGTTTCCAATGCAGGGGACATGGGTTCCATCCCTGGTCGGGGAACTAATATCCCACATGCTGAGCAGCCAACGAAAAAAAAAAAAAAAAAACAGAAACGGAGAAGAAGTGCAGCAGAATTTTTCAGCTCCCATTGAGTACAGAATACAGGGCCTACAGACCCAGAACCTGTCTGGGGTCCACTAGCCAAGTGCTTCCATGTTAAATCTCCAAAATCTATGCTAGTTTTAGGAACTTCTAGGAACACATATAGTAACTGTTATTTTTTATAAAACCATGCTTAAATTTATAATTCATGCTGATTTTTAAAAATGTTTTACTTTGGAATAACTTCAAATTTACAGGAAAATTGCAAGAATAATACAAAACACTCCCATATAACCTTTACCCCCAAATCACATTTTTTTCAAAATTACCTCAATTCACAATTTTTCACATTCCATCACATTTGTTTTATCATTTTCTCTCTCTGTCTTTCTTTCTCCATACACTCACAGACACATTAAAGAATGTCCTCATTCTGAGGAAATTACTGTATTTGTGTGTATATATATAGTGTTTTATATATATAAAATATATATAGTATGTAAGATATGTAAATATATATAGTAAAACAGTACATGCCTTTTTTTTTGGCCGTACCTCACAGCATGAGGAACTTTCCTAACCAGGGATTGAGCCTGAGCCCCCTGCAGTCGAAGCACGGAGTCTTAACCACTGGACCACCAGGGAAGCCCTGTACATGTCTAATTTTGAACCATTTGAGAGTAGGTTGCAGACATGCTCCTTTATCCTTAATACTGAAGTATGTATTTCTTAAGAATGAGGACATTATTTACCTAACCACAGTATACATATCAAATTCAGAAAATTTAACTTCGACACTTTATATGACCTACCATCCTTTAAATGTCTCAAAAACGTCTTTTGTAGCCTTTTTTCTTTTTCCTGGTACAGGATCACATACTGCATTTAGTTGTCATATCCCTTTGGCTTCCTTTAATATGGAACTGTTCCTCAACCTTTGTCTTTCATATTAACAATTTTTAATACTGCTGTTCATTTATTTTAAAGACTACTCCACTTCCGTTTGATGTTTCCTCACTGGTAGATTTAGGTTGAGCATTTTTGGCTTAAGTGGTGGTGGTCCCACATCTGAAGGCATGTGATTTCCATCTGCTCTTATGGGTGATGTGCCTTTGATCACTTGGTTAAGGTGTCCGGTTTCTCCTCTTTGTAAGTAGGATTTTCCCCTTTGTAATTAGTAAGTAACTCCTGTGGAAAATTGTCACACATTTTACCAAACTATCAGAACAAGATAAAGAAAAACTTTCTGCATATGACTTGGCATACCAAAATGACTTCCTGGAATATTTAACAGATTCAGAAATGGGGACATCACTGCATCCAGGTCATGGATTCCCATAGGCAAAGCTCTACAGCTCTCTGCACTGCCCAGCACCTTGCAAAGCGCAGATAAATGAACAATTACCCCTGTCCTCCCCCTCCTCCTTTTAAAGGCCTTCACAGTACCATGACCGAGGTCTGTTGTTCATGGCCCCAGGATTATTAGTTCTTTTTGTATTTTCTGAGGGGAACGTTGGTCCAGAATATTCTTCCTGTTTGGCAAATCCCCACCCCTCCCTCTGGAAGCAGCAATCACTTTCTCCATGAAGTTTACCTGGGGCAGTTGTCCCTCCTCTCCAGGTGAAAATAATTTATTCCCTCCTCCTCCCCTCCTCCGAATCAAAACCGCTTCCAACTGTGCCATGTTTCAGCTGGGAACTAGTAGGAAAATCTATTTAACTGAGGTGACTCCTCAGTCCTCAAGTGTTTGCATTCTTCTAAAACTCTCTGATTGTTAGGACTTTATGTGAAATTTTTCTGTCTTGAGGGAAGATTTGCAGGAGGTAACACAGGATGCAGCTAGTGCCTGTGCACACAGTCTAGTAGTCTGCATGCAGCCGAGCTCCAGGAGGCTCTTCCCACAGAGACTGAAATGAGCAGGACCCTATGGGGCTCCCAGGCACGGAAGCCTGTTTCCCCATTTCTTATTTCTAGGGAATAGACTCCAACCTCCACTACCTTCCCTGAGTCCCAAAGGACAGATTAGAACAGTTGCTAATCAGGGAAGGGAGGGGATGCAGAGACAAGGGAGGAAACCACCTGAGACCAGATTAAAGGAGTGCAGGCTCTGCACACACCCTGATCCTTATCAGCAACGCTGCCTTTGAGCCATTGCTATAAAACTCCTCACTAATCTTCCCGGGTTGGGACATACAGTTTTTCAGGGCACAAGCCCGCTGTGTCCCCCTTTGCCTGGCAAAGCAATGCAGGTATTCTTTTTCACTTCACCCCAAACTCCATCTCTGAGATTTGATTCAGCACCAGTGCACAGAGGTTGAGTTTTCAGCATCAAGACCACGAGGTGAAGGGCATCCCAGAGCCGACCAGAGGGAGATATCCCCACATTCTAGTAGAGATTTTCAAACGTAAGAAGTGTACAGATCACTTTTGAAGGGAAGTAAATCTCTCCAATCAATCACCAGTGTAAACTTTATATCCATTATACTAGGGGAAAAAACCCACATATCTTTATTATAACGTTATATACCTAAATATACAAAAATAGAATACGGCTTATACCTTTTAAACAAAATATCAAAATGTCAAATACAAGCTAAACTTACTTCAGTTTAAATACAAATTAAATTGACTTTAATGTGATAGATGTTTTGCTGAAACCAATCATCACCGTCAACACACTATGATAGTCTTAAAGACGGGTTTTTTCTGAGGCCAGCATGACTTACCAATCCTATTGGGCTTTTTGATACTTCATATTGTGATATTGTGATTTATAAAAGCAATACTTATTTGGTCTTTGACCCTGTTTCTGGCACAGAGCTCCTAAAATGCTAGTAATTTACAAAGACCAGAGAGCAATAAAGGTGTCCTCCTATGTTAATGAGGTGACTTTCGGAATACACATAAGAATGGGGGCTGGGGCTTCCCTGGTGGCTCAGTGGTTGAGAGTCTGCCTGCCAATGCAGGGGACACGGGTTCGTGTCCCGGTCCGGGAAAATCCCACATGCCGCGGAGCGGCTGCGCCCTTAAGGCATGGCCATTGAGCCTGCGCGTCCGGAGCCTCCGGAGCCTGTGCTCCGCAACGGGAGAGGCCACAGCGGTGAGAGGCCCGCGTACCGCAAAAAATAAAAAAAAAAGAATGGGGGCTGGCTACCAGTGTAACCAAACACCGGCGTGTTGGAAATTTCAGTCCCACCTCCCGACCTCCGGGGAGGGGAGAGGGGCTGGAGGCTGAGTCAGTCACCAATGGCCAATGATTTAGTCAATCAGGCCTGTGTAACGAGGTCTCCATGAAAACCCAAAAAAGAAAAAAGACGGGGTTTGGAGAGCTTCTGGTTGGTGAACGTGTGGACGCTTGGTGAGAGCTCAGGGAGGGCATGGAAGCTCTGTCCCCTTTCCCCATGCCTTGCCCTGTGCATCTCTTGCATCTGGATGCTCCTGAGTTGAATCCTTTTATAATTAACCAGTAATCTAGGAAGTAAGATGTTTCTCTGAGTTCTGTGAGCCACTCTAGCAAATTAATTAAACCTGAGGAGGGAGTTGTGGGAACCTCTGATCCATAGCTGGTTGGTCAGAAGTTCAGGTGACAATCTGGACTTGCAGTTGGCATCCTGAGTTGCAGGTGGTCATAGGAACCTCCAGTTTGTATTCGGTCGATCAGAAGCACAGGTAACAAAACTGGGCTTGAGACTGGTGTCTGAAGTTGTGTGTGTGGTGGGGCCGGGGGCAGTCTTGTACAACTGAGCCTTAACCTGTGGCTATCTCCAGGTAGTGTCAGCACTGAGATGAATTGCAGAATACCCAGCTGGTGTCAGAGAAATGCTTGGTGGTGTTGGTAAGGGGAGCCTCCCCCAGCTCCGCACGGGCCCCAACCATTTAGGAATTTGTGATCAGGAACAAAAGACAAATCCTTTATTACTTTATTCTAACAACTGCAAAAACTTTTCTATAGTGTACCTTTTGTTTTCCTTTGACATATTCTAACTCTGTTAGTTTCTCATTGGTCCACACAATTAAAGGAAGACTAACAGGAACAAAAAACATGCTTGGGCTCTGAAATTAAGAAGTCATATAGATGATGTAGAATTAATTTGTCCATGGACTTAAAACGCAAAGTTTAAACAGTCTGGCAGGGAACTTGAGGATCCTTCCCATCTGTGGAACCTAATTTGAGAAACGTTGCTCTTAAAAGCTGTTTTCTTTCACAGCTTATTCTCTTCATCCATTCACATCCTTTGGCAACCTTTAAAAGATCCCATAGTAATAAATGACAAAAATCTTAAGCAGAACCCAGTTTTTCACCTATGAAAAAGTGACAAAATATTTCAATAAGAATAGTAACAATATGATTAGGTAAATTCAGACTTTGCTTTTTTAGACAATAAATGTACGAAGTTACTTACTTTGCTTTATTTCCAATATATTTTAAATTGTCTTGAATTTATTCTACTCCTTCTTTCAACACTTTGTGAACAGTAATACATTTTCTTCTTGAATCCAGTGTTGCTTTTGAGATTGTTACTGTCTATTCTTGTTGCTTTGTAGGTGTGATTGGCAACTTCTCCCTGGAAGCTTTTAGAACTTTCCTTTCTCTTTGATGTTCTTAAATTGCACTATAATCTCTCGCTGGCACTCTATAAGCCCTTTCAATCTGAAGTCTTTTTTATCTTTCCTTAAAACTGGGAAATTCACAGCCATTATATTTGTATAGTATTTCCTCTCCTGTTTATTCTCTCTCTTGTATCAAATGGGACTCTTTTATCTAATGTTGTCACTTCTCCCTTTAGCCTCCAGGTCTTTTTACTTCATGTTTTCCATCTCTACCCCTAACTGATGGTTTCTGGGACTGTTACTCAGCCCTGTGTTCTAGCTCACTGATTGTTCTTCATTAGTATCCACAATACTTTCAGTTTACCTACTGAATATTTTATTTCAACTATTTAGTTTTCAATAATATTGCTATTTGACCTTTCCTTAAGACTGCAATTACTAATATCCTTTAATCTCTTATGATATTTATAACTTATAGTCATAATTCCAAAAAAATAATCAAATGTAAAAGAGAAAATCTTTTAAAGTATGTGGTGAACTACAATGTGTATTTATGATAAAAAATTAGCAAATTAGTAATGAAAAGAGTACACACAACCTCAAAATGACAGAGTAGCTAGAACTTCAACAAAACTGCAGTGAACATTATACTGGGCTGGTTATTACATCCCAAAGTCAGTTTGTCTATCAAGTTATCTTAATTTTTATAAGCTACTGCTACACTGTCTTAATTACTATAGGTTCTTAATAAATCACGATCTACTAGAATCCATTAAAGTGCCTTTGCTATTCTTGGCCCTTTTCTCATCCATATTATAGTCAAATAAGTCCTTTGAATGTGGTATTTTTATTGGAATTAGATTGACTTGACAATCAATTTGGAGATAATTTATATCTTGACCATATTGAGTCTTCCTAAGCATGAACATAGTATATTTGTCCATTTATTCAAGTCTTCATTTATGTCTCTCAAAATTTCATAATTTTGCATATCAGCACTTTGTATATCCTTTGTTAGGCTTATTCCTAGGTAGGTGAATTTGATGCTAATACTTTCTTTTTGAATAGGTTTTCTAGTTGTTTCTGCTATATAGGAATGCAACAGACTTTGGATATGAATCTTAGACATATAATTACATCAGTTGCAAATGATAGTTTTATTTCTTTCCAAATAATTTGCCTTAAACTTCTCTTAATTGTGACGGCTGACTTCGGTATTGTTCAATATAATTGGAGATAATAGAACATTTTAAAGAGAATGCTCCCAATGTTTCCTCATGAAAATTATATTGTTTTTTATAGATACCTTTACAAGGTTAACAAAGTTTCCTCCTACTCCTAATTACTAAGAGTGTTATCACTGGTGAGTGGTGGGTTTACAGTTTGTATTATAAAAGAGTGGTGAATGTTAGCAAATGTTTTCTTCTGCTTCCATTGAGAGGATTTTTTTCTCACTTCCACTGTTAATGTGGTGAATTACATTAACAGATTTTCTAATATTAAACTATCCTTGCATTTGAAGATAGTATATCACCCTTTTAAAAAATACAATTGGATTCAGTTGGCCAGCATTTTATTTAGGATTTTTACATGTATCTATTTGAGTGGAAGGTACAGGTACTTTCCTTTCTCATGTTGTTTTTTTGAATCAACATTATTCTTGCCTAATAGAATCAACTTCTGCTCTAGAAGAGTTTATAATTAAGAAATAAACTCTTGGTAAAACTTTTCTGTAAAGCCATTTGGGGCTAGAGCTTTATTTTTAATTGAAATATTCATATACCGTACATACGGCTCACCCTTACGTATACAGTTGTTTTTTCCTATTCACAAAGTTATGCTGCCACTACCAGAGTTGGACTTTTAATTACTGCTGTAAGTTAATTGATATAGGACTCTTCAGTCTTTCTCTGGCTTCTTGAGCCAGTAGAGGAAGACAAGCAAGGGGAAGCAGATGAAGGAAAGACGGAGAGACCAAATAGAAAACAACTAACAGAGACTAACGAGGAATCTAAGTGTAGTAATGACACGGCGCTAAGTATTTTTAAAATTTTTCCTGAGATTGTATACCGTGTACAGAGACATACACAGAAGTATTATCTCAGAGTGAAATAACATTATACTTGGGATCTCTTTAAAAATATTCTAGGAGGGCTTCCCTGGTGGCGCAGTGGTTGAGAGTCCGCCTGCCAATGCAGGGCACACGGGTTCGTGCCCCGGTCCGGGAAGATTCCACATGCCGCGGAGCGGCTGGGCCCGTGAGCCATGGCCGCTGAGCCTGCGCGTCCGGAGCCTGTGCTCCGCAACGGGAGACGCCACAGCAGCGAGAGGCCCGCGTACCTCAAAGGAAAAAAAAAAATCTAGGAAAAAGGGGGAATAGGTAAAACAAGATGGGACAAACGTTAATGGCTGAAGCTGAGCAACTGGTACATGGAAGGTGATTATATTACTATTCTACTTTTCTGTGTTTGAGATTTTCCACAATGGTCTCTGTAAAAATATACCTCTTAGTAAGCTTTCCTTTCCCAGGTTCCACCAAAAAGTTAGTGACTTCCTTACCCATCTCCCTTAACGGGCTATTCACATCTTTTCTTTTTTTGGCTGAGTCATGCCGGATCTTAGTTCCCTGATCAGGGATCAAACCCACGTCCACGGCAGTGAAAGTGCCCAGTTCTAACCACTGAACCGCCAGGGAATTCCCTACACGTACCTGTATTTTTGCTAAGAAGCCAAAGGACTTTTTTTTTTTTTTGCGGTAGACGGGCCTCTCACTGTTGTGGCCTCTCCCGTTGCGGAGCACAGGCTCCGGACGCGCAGGCTCAGCGGCCATGGCTCACGGGCCCAGCCGCTCCACGGCACGTGAGATCTTCCCGGACCGGGACACCCGTGTGCCCTGCGTCGGCAGGCGGACTCTCAACCACTGCGCCACCTGGGAAGCCCCCAAAGGAATTTTTGCTAACCACTTTTAATCCCATTGTCCTCTACTAAACATCATTATTTTAGTAATCTTTTTATTTTCCCATATACACGCACACACGCATATCTACAGAGTTGTCGGAGTGCGCAAATGGCATGGGAAGGCAGTTTTCACCTAACATAGGTCTCTGGGCCATGGCCCCACCGCCATCTACGCAGCACTCCGTGGCGAAGTTCCGGAACGTCCCACTTATCCTGGCGGCGCGCATCGCCGCGGTGAGACATCTGGACGTCTTCCTCATGTCTGGGCACAACTTCTGCTTCTCCCCGTCCTTACTCCCACAAACCGGCCTTGGGCGCCCGCGGTGATACTCCTCCCCTCACGCTTCCCACGCCTGGGTTTCCCACAGTCTAGGACCACGGGCTGGCTTTTCTCACCTCCCACTGACTTAAGACGCGGAGCCGGGTCTGCGGAGGGTGCGCCTGCGCACAGAGTGCCGTTCGTCGGGCAGCCCCCACCCCCCGCCTTCGCCAAACCCCGCGATACCTTACCCCTCCCGCAGGCTCGCTGCCCCAACGGCTCCGCGGACCTGGAACTTTCTAAACCCCTGCGCACGCGCTCTACGGCCCTTAACGTCCCGGCTCCGCCCTTCCCTGGCCGCTCCCCTTTTCGTCAGGGAGATCCCCGCCCTAACGCCACGCCAATCATCCACTTCTTTCCTAGGCCGACCTCGCAACAGGCCTTTGATTGGCTGATCTGGGTGCGAACGCAGCGGAGGGGCGGCGACGATAGGCTGGGAGCCGGTCCCGGCGTATCCGCAGAGTGCGTGTAAGGTGATTGGTCAACACCGTCGTCCAATCAGCGGCGGGCTGTCGGATTCAAACCGGACTCGTTTGGCTTACGGTCGGTTGGTCTCAGTCGAGTCGTTGCCTTCACTTGGCGAGGGCGTGTCGCTCGCCTGCGCCCGTTCTTCGCGCCTCGTCGCTCCAGTCCCTTGCTGCCCACCGCCCTCCCGCAGGATGGCCCATAAGCAGATCTACTACTCGGACAAGTACTTCGATGAGCACTACGAGTACCGGTGAGCGGACCGGACGGCCTAACTCAGCCGCGGCCCCGGCCGAGCCTGAGCTGGAACTCGGGCCGGGTACCAGGGGCCAGGACCGGGAATCGGGGTCGAAGCGCGTCGGGCTGAGGTTTGGGTCGGAGCTGGGGGCCGGGGGCCGGAGGTAGGGTCAGGGTCGAGCCCGAGGGCCTGCCGGGAGTCACGGTTGTGTCGGGGTCGGGCCGCCCGGGCGGGAGCTTGCGCTTCTCCTCGCCTGGCGGGCCAGCCCGGCTGGCTTCCGCCCTTTGTTCCTGTTTGTGAAGAGGACGAGGCTGGGGCGGGGATGGGGCCGCTTCTGGTGCAGAATTGCTACCTTAAGGGGAAGGGGCCGAGGGCCTGAGCGGACCCGGCGTAGCTAAAGTGCAACGCCGAGAGCCCGAATCGCAGCGGTTCCTAAGAACTTCGGCCTAGTTCGCATTTAGGCAAACGTCCCCCTCCCAGTCACAGCGGGCGAAGGGCTGTCGGAAGGGTAATTTTGCTCAGGTAACGTCGCCAGAGAAACACTTCTCTTTTTCTCTAATTTGAAGTTAATGGCCCTAAAAAGTAGCTTGTAGGGGAGTCCCCGTAAAATGAGCTTCCTTGGGATTCGAAATGTGTCTTGGGTATGGCGACTTCGGCAGAGGCTCGTGCGTGTTAATCCTCTTGGGTTATTATTAAAGGGGCTTCCTTTTGAGACAAAATTGAGAACTCGAATGGATTTGGGGCATTTTTTTCTGCTAGTATGTATCGGCAAAATTTTTGGCTTTGAGGGATTTCTGGTTTCTGCATCATTATGTGATGCACTAGAGCATAGTTGCTAAATTGTAAGATTAGCAAATTGGATTGTGTGAGGGAAGAAACACTTAACATTAGCTTTAATATATGCAGGAGACTTAGCTGGGGTGTGGCTTCAAAGACCAGCGCCACCCAGTTCTCCTGGGTGGTGACTAGGACGCTGCATTCTGGGAAACTACCAACTTGTAGGAGGGGCCAAATAGTGACCTTATTTTCTGCCTCCTATCCTTTTACGTCAGATTTCCAAGAATGCTATTTGAGTTAGAAAGGATATAACAGTGGGTGGCCTCTTTTTTCCCTCCCCTTAGTATCTTGTAATTCTTTCTTAGTATCTTGTAAATCTTTCTCTGGAGAAAAACGGAGGATTTCTCTGGGCAGCTTTGCAGGTTAGTAATACCTGAATTGTCCAGCAGGGGTTATCCAATAATGGACAGAATGTAAAACCACAATCTTTATAAAAATCTGGGAAAATATTAATTTTGAAACATGTCTGGCTCCGAGTAGTACTTTTCAGGACTTTTCCTGGCAGTAGTTCCATTTTCTAGTTTCAGTATACTAGCATAATCATTGATGAGCACGAAGTAAACTAGTCTATGCTATCAAGATTTTAGCCTAATAGACTAAGTGGTTTATGTGTAGTAATGAATAGAAGAAAATCCTGTCATATCTGAAATGATATATTCTAATCCAGTTTTAATCTAATTACTATCTAATCCAGTATTAATCTAATTAATATCTAATCCAATATTAATGAAACCTGGTCTTTCTTGACCAAGCCACTTGCCTTTATCAAACAGGACAGTAATGTCCAGAGAAGGGAAATTTAATTGTATCTTGCAGTGTTATCTTAGTAGCTCCTTTGTTGTTTGTACTGCTATGGCCTTTTTTTTTTTTTACCCCCTCTTCACCCTCCATGATAAGCCCTTGGTACTGAAATAAATGTTAGATTTTTGGAAACAGTTCTCCTTACATGTAGTTAGAAATACATAGAGGAGTTATATCCATGCAGAAAAAAATACAGGTAGACTTCCCATCTGAGTTTGAAGCTACTTACCCATTTTTCCCTCATAATCAAATCCCGATGAAGTTAGCCTGTCTCCATGGTTTATGGAGAAGGTAGGGTATATGACTTATATCTAGACATAAATTGGAACATTTTGTACGGCATACATGAGTACAAAGGCTAGTTTGCATTTTACATTTCTCTTGAGACTAATCAACAATTATGTAGAAGATAGAAATAAGGTAACAGGCTATTTGCCTTAAAAGTAGATGTTAAAGCAGTATTTCAAGAGTCAATGAGCTAGCTGGTAAGTATTGCTAAGAATCATCATGTAGTTCACTGGAATTGGTAAAATTTTTACCAACTGTGATAGTAAGCATAATTTGACTTGGTGGCCTTGTGGCCAGCAAGCAACATAACACAACAGTTCTAAGGCTTGATTTTGTTATGCAAATTATAGGAAATTGGTACGTAACCAACCACTCTCAGACTAGAACTTAAGTTGGTGACAGTTTAGTGCTTATTATGGGTTATGGGTTCAGTTTTCCTGTGACCTGACTGCTCCTTTCTTTCCCCAGCCAACAAATTCGCAGGCATATATCTAATACTGGTCAAAAAATTTGGTTGGTGGTAATGGATGACGGTATAAAACTACTGCTCCTGGAAGTGATTAAAAATGAGCCTGGGAATTTTGATTTTTATAAAGATCCTTTCAATTGTAATTAAATAAGAATTCGGTGGGGGTGCATATTTGTTTTCTAAGAATTTTTCAAATCTCCACTTGTACCTATTCTTGATGGTTTGACATTGAAGAATATTGCATGCCTTCTTTAAAAATTGATTAAAGTTTTGGATATAGGCCAGTAACTTATTGGAAAACTGAATGTGTTTTAGGTAGCAGGTACATGTATATGTGCATTTAGTGTTTTTTGCTTTTAATTTCGAACAAAGTATAAAGCAACTTTTGGAGTTATGTACAAGGACTTGTGTCTACTACAGATCTATAGAGTAATAGGAAACCCAAATTAACTGTAACAAGCTAGATTCCCCCAGCCCTGCTACCTGGGGCTAGTATGACACTTCTTAAAATCAGGGACCATTCTTAATTTATAATCACTTCTGTGTTCTTAGATGGTTTCTCTAGCTCCCTGATCATATCAATCTGCTTCATAACTAACAGGAAGGAGAAAAAAGAGAATTGGGCATGTTCTTTTCTTTCGAGGATACTTTCCATAAGTTGCATAATTTCTGCTTATATCCCGTTGGGCAGGATTTAGTCACATGTGACCAGAGGTAGCTGCAGGGGAGGCTGGGATGTCTTGGATAACCATGTGTCCCACTTAGTTTTTGAGGTTCTATTCCTGAAGAAGATTGAGACAATTAGCAAGCAGTCTCTATTAGGGAAAAAAGTTAATCATAAATAAAATGCCTTCTACTTTTGGACTGCATATTCTAATCTCTGATTTGAACACAGGCCATCAAGATCAGAATTAAAGGTAGTAGAGAGTAGTCTTTAAGATTGATGCTAATGGTAATGTAACAGGGTTGCTTTAAAGAACTTTAAGGGCAAAGAACTCAAATTTTAAGTATCCTAAAGATGCATGTATAAAGTGACCATAATTGTAGGAAAGGCATATTCACTTAGAGCACTAATATTTCGCTGTATTTTTTAACAGGCATGTCATGTTACCCAGAGAACTTTCCAAACAAGTACCCAAAACCCATCTGATGTCTGAAGAGGAGTGGAGGAGACTTGGTGTCCAACAGAGTCTAGGCTGGGTTCATTACATGATTCATGAGCCAGGTAAGTTTTGCTATTAGGGAAGCACTAATTGAATTAAAACAGTAGAGGTTGTTAAAATTTTTTTAGTAATATTGACGTTTCAGTGGTATCCCATAGTAACTCTGATAAGCTTGACTATTTTTGAATGACTGATACCTCCCTAGAGAGGGTTCCAATTTTATAGTAAATAAAATACCATGAGTGAAAATAATGCATTCTTCTAAACTGCAAAAATAAACTATT